TCAATGGATAGAGCAGCTTTTAGGCATGGAGACAAAATCTCTTCCCTTCTTTCTTCCCCGTCTACCTTGAACATAGTTTTTCTTGAACAAACTGATTACTTCCTTTCTTTCTTTACCTTCAAAATGATATAGAAAGTTGATTTTATGCCAAAAGCATGGTAAGTCGCACTCAATTTTTCATGATGATTCTATTATTTATATCAATGAACCTAGTAAAGAGCAAAAGAAAAAAAAGGCATATCACTTGGACCAGACTAGCATAGGGAAGCTAGATTTTATAGAATTGAAGCCTAAGTTTTAGGTGGTAAAGTTCCAACAAGAATGGCAATGATAATTCAAATATATTATCACTTGGGTCAATATGAGAACTTATTCCAAATGACCGACAGCCACCTCAGGTCTTTCATTAACTTTTCCTACTTTTCTTTTGACTTATTATTTTGATTAATGCACTTTTTTTTCCCATTTACATGGAAAAAAATCCAAAAGGTTGTTATTAGTGACAACATTTTCTGTAATGCAACCAATTTCACATTAAAAAAATATGAGGATAAGATATGATATATAAATTAAGATTTAAATATATTTTTGTAAGATATTTTTTTATAGATAAAATCGTAAAAGTTTTTAGACAAAACAGATAAACGGATAATACTTTACTAATTGGATACTGATTTTCACATTTTTTAAGCATGATCATAAGAATTCCTGCTTGTTGAGAAATTAACATCGGAAAGAGACTAGACAGACAGCTTGTTAATAATGAATGACCATCTTTAAAAATAAGATATACGAGCTTCTATTGGAAAACAGTCTTTAGCTAAAACAAGATTGAATATATAGAGTTTTATGCCATGCATCTTAAAATGTCAACATAAGAATTTAATCATTCAGAAGAGGTTCACTATGCTTTAATTAACCTTATGACATAGGAGATAATATCAATTTGAAAACCTAGCATACCCCTCTGTGGGTTCAATCTGTCTAAGGTTTATGCTTTGATGATTCAGAATGATCATGACCATCACTATGTAATATAACAGTTAAACCAGAAACCTCCCCTTCCTCCATTGCCATGCTTGCATAAATAATCAGACAAATGTTATAAACATTCATTTACAAGCATGGAAAAGGGGATTATACAATGGTTTTTCTTATTTATTTTTTCTGTGTGCAATTAAGGTTGGAATTTACCTTTAGTTTTGTGGTTGGAGCTATGGAAAAACAGCAGTATAGTAATGGACAATGACAATGCCGAATAACCAATTAATAAGGGGGGGGGGGGGGGGGGGGGCATGATATAAACATTTATGGAAGCTTTTTAAGTACATGATACACATATATACATCGCATTGATTTCTTTATTTCTTTTTTGGTAGGATGTGGAAAAAAATGATGACTCGAGTTCGTATCAGTAATAATCTAAGATAAAAATTAAATGTATAGAATTTTTACAATCATGTTTTCATGAAAAAAATTTGTGTACATATTTAATTTCGGTTATTAATTTTTATTTTTTAAAATTTTCAAAAATTATTAAAGTTAAAGATAAGTAAAAAACAAGTGGTGAGTCAGTAAAAATATTTTAGAAAGTAGCTATTTATGGAATGATTTTTTCACAAAATAGTTGCTTATGGAAAACAACTATTTAAACAAAATTCCTTCATGGAGCAACATTTTCTCTTTTGGTAGGCATGTAGGCATGTGGAAGCAAATGATGACGCAAGTTCATATCAGCAATGACCTAAGCTAACAATTAGATGCATGGGATCTCCGCAACCATGTCCCCATCGAAAAAAAAAAGTTAAAAATAAGTTAAGAGTAAGTGATAAGTCAATTTTAGTGAAAAAATTTTACATAATAGTTATTTATTGAATAATTTTTTTTATAGAATAGTTATTTACGAAATAATTATTCAAAAATAATTTTTTATGGAATAATATTTTTATGAAATAATTATTTTCGAAACAATTTTCTTAAAGAATAATAACAACACCTTTACTAAAAATTCTTTCATCAAAAATTATTTTATTAAGAGTTATTATACAAAAGACATTTACAACAAAAGTTTCTTCACAAAAAAAAAAAATGAAAATTACATCGAAATATAACAAGATGTTTCAAATAGTTTGATTTGGTGGATCTGATATGATAATAATTAAGAGATCTTCTCTTAATCTTTTTTTAAAATATGAATATTTATCCTTTTTAGAATAAATAGTGAATTTCTATATTCACTAATCACCAAAAACTAATTAAACTATTATTAGACAATGCATTAACATTTTTTATAACTATCAATTTCACCATTAATCTTATTCAATACTTAATATATGTAATTTTTATTTTTGAAACCTATAAATAAGAGTTTTCATAATTTATTGGGAGACTTTTTAGACTTTGATAGATTTCTAACAACTTTCTCTCAAATGCTATTTACAATTACTCTCTCCCCAAGTTCTTTTCTAAACCTTATTCTCTCTTTTATCCAGTCCCATTTTACCATCCACCACCAATAGTTGCTGAACTCAATTAGGTTTGTTCCAATCTTTCTCTCTGCTTTCTCCCAACACATCTCATTTTAATTAGTTGCAACGCTTTCTCACCTCATCAAAGAACCCATTTACATTAGGCTTATGATTAACAAACAAATTATTAATTTCTTCAATCAATCCAACTGTTTTTTGAAGAAGTTATATGAATCATATGAAGGACAATTGATGAGGTGTTAATGAAAGACATAATTTAGGATTTAAGATGTCTAAACAACCATATTATTGAACAGAAGAAAAGATCCCCTCCTAAGATGCCATTAAGAAGCATCAAGATCCATGTTGCAGTGTTTCATGGACCCATGTCATATGCATATGCTCAAAGGAAACTTAAGCTGAAGCTAACCTTAAGTTTCCTTTAGGTCAGACAGAAGGTACATCATATCAGTTATGGCTGCATCCATGTCTAAAGCAACTCTATATACTCATATATTGTGATAAAACTTGATAATCAGAGGTCCCCTCTTACCTATTTATCAAAAATTAAATGATTACTAAGAATAGTCACGATCATTCAATTTTAGTATCTGTGTAGAATATGTGCAAAATGAATTTAATGTCTTGCGTATCAACAGTTTAAATTGGTCTGTCGTGCTTTTTTTTTAACAAGCTGTTTTGATGCTGACCTTAAGCTCGCAGACATCGGTTGTGATGTGAGTCATACCATTGAAATCAACAAGTTCAGCTTTCACAACATATGAATTTTGTGTTCTTTCCTAGAATTTCAAGTCTGATGTTTGTTTAAATTAGTGTTTGCTGGCAGTTGATCAGTAACAGTGAACAAGCTGGCTAACAAATTGTGCGGTAAATATTCAGAACATTATCAGGATCTTACACAAGATTATGTTACTTTTTGCATGTCGTCTGGTCACCAGCCAACATCAAAAGAAGCAGAAATTTCTGCATTAATGAGATGTATGACATATTGCAGATGGAGAGGGTGAGTACAACAACTTTTTCTTCCTTGCAAACTCGTGAGGTGGACCATGTATTTATATAATATAAAAGTGACAATCACCCAAAAGACAAACGACAGTTAAATGGACTCAAATGGAAAGCGGGTCTCCTACAGAAACTGAAAAAGAGAAAGTGAGTCTGAATTTGACTATTTGAACCTCTATGATTATGAGATTCCATTTTTGAAATGAAAACTCCCAAGTGAAATTAATTAAAAGATATTTCTGAGTTGAGTAGGTTCCAGTCCGTTCTTTCTGTTTTTCTTTTGACATTTAAAAGACCTAATGCTGCTAACTCATAACCTTGTAGTAGGGCAAAATCATGAACTCAGTATCGTACAAAAAGATTGCAAGATAGTTACCTGATCTCTTGTACAAAAAGATTGAGCAAAACAAAATTAATATTAAGAATTGTTTGGATCAAATGAAGTGAAACTAACATTAATATCTGCAGATCTACCACCAAACCAAGGCACGGCGAGAAGAGTAGAAATGGATCCCAAAGCAGACATGGTATTTTCCTACAGGGTTTTAACCAAGCAGGTGCCGACATCATTAAGTAATATAAGATTAATGTTAAGAGGCACTTACACTGTCGGTGCCTGAATTAGACTAAAACTTAAAGTTTGATGGTTTTTTTTTGGCTTCTAGGCTTGTTCTTTGTCCAAGATTTTCTGAGGCAAAATAGTGACCGACTATCACTTACCATCTGGCATTGCATTCTCTCTAGTCCTAAACCAAGAAAAATTCCAGTAGCTGAATATAGGTTTTTGTGTTTTTAATGCCAAACCAGGTGACAGGACAATATGTAGAGATTGATTGTACAAATATGGAAGTATGTGACAGTTGCCACACACATGGTAATCACATGGCTACAGAGAAATTGACTTCTAGAGACACCCCCCAACATGAAAGTGAGTGATCATTTCAAGCTTCTTTTTTATACCATTAGAGAAGAGGAGGTAATTGCAAATCCATTTAACTTGCTTTCTGAAGGAATCGCAGTGCAGGCCTAACCTGAAATTTGGAAGTGTAACAAAATTTTATCATTGGCAAGTAAAATTCTTTGTTCTGTCTGCATTCAAGAAGTCAACTTGTAATTGAAGAAGTAGGGCATTGTCCTGGTGAGTAAGATTAGTGACAGGCCTATATCAAGATCAAAATGGTGTTAGACCAGCAGTCAAAACTCAAAAGGCATCAGCCATGGCTGCTGATCATAAACGGCAGCTTGGTTTCTTGTCCTGTAACTGACATCTAAGCTATCACTTTCTTTTTTTATCCCCCTTCTATCGTGCAGATGAAGTGAGACACTCAACATGCCCTGTCTCAAAGCACCAAATTCAGTTTGTTCTTGCATGCGTCTCTCAGAGGAGAATGGCTGATGATCATCCAGAATTTATATGTTCTTACTCGGCTAGATTTTGATAAGCAAACATGTAATGTTCTAACAAGAATTGCTGTAATCAGATTTGTAAAACCTTAAAAGACTGTACATGCAAGAAAAAGAAAAAACTGAGGACTTAGGTGGCTGGAATTGGAGGGACCAACGTCATTTCAAAATCGAAAGTAACAAAGCATCAATTTACAGAGAGATCTAAAGGCAAAATTTGCTGCAGGATAATATAGCATGAAAGCATGTTTTTTACATTCATTTATCAATTCATTATGAATGTAACCTCCTTTTACATCATTGATGGAGATGGTTTCAGAAAAACAAAAAAAAAAAAAAAAAAATTCCAAGCCAACAAAATTATAACTTCAATCATAAAGGCTCCGAGTTCTGCGCACCAAGTGATCCAATAGGCGAATCTTTACCAGAAATATACGATGGGAAGACCAGCGGGCTCGTTTCAATTCAAGGGAGGAAAAGACACAGGTCATTGACCATAATAAGGAGGCTGACCTGGCACTGGTGCACCATCGGGTCTAACATTAACCCCTGGCTGTGGCATTCTCATGGAAGACAAACCGGGTTGTGACAGTGGTGATGAAGCAGCAGGTATTGTAGCATTCATATATGTAGGGACTGAGGATGCTTGATATGTTTGACCACGAACAGTCCCAGGAACTGATCCGTAAGGTGGTCTAGCCTGTAAATTTGGATCCCAAGCAGGAACTTGTCCAGCAGAGGGTTGAGCCTGCATTGCAGCTGAAGCTGCATAGTCAGTCCCAGGGTACAAGGGAGCACCCTGAGGATTCTGCCAAACATTTGGAGCAGCAGGCATACCAGGAACTTGTGTTGCAAGCAAACTTGGGTCTGAGATTGTGTAATCTCTACTTTTATCACTGCAAGCCTGTGGCCAAAAATGAACTAATCAGAATCACACTGCAAGTCCGTCAAGACAAATAATAGAACTAAATTAGCAGGTAAGGGTGGTAATCAAGTATCAAGAAGCATACATTTTAAGGTCCAACTCTTTTATTGATCAAGAACGAATTCCCTTTATCTCCTAAGGACGTCTTTAATTCATATTTTCTTCTTTTTTTTCTTTTCTCATGAACATTAACTCAAAAGCACATATTTATACCTTTACATTCAGATCAGTATGACGAGAGTATGATAGATGAAGCTTACAATAGCCACCATCATATATGCAGTGTCCCTCTAAGGATTCTTTAGCAACAGCTGCGGTTGTGACATCTGAATGTAACAACTTCTAGATCAGTAAAGCCTTTCAAAATATCTAACAAAATAGAACATGCATTGCCAAACTATTAATTCGAAGATCATAAGATAGATGTCCAACAGTCCCCCAGGGAAACCCCATAGACCCTGAGACTTTCAACTTAACGGTCTTGAGTTCAAATATTTGGAAAGAGCAGGTGCAAAAATTTTCAGATATCCCACAATCATTAGAAATGGAACAAATTTGAAATGAAAAAGAAACAAAGGTATTATAACTCTATACATAATATAGACACACTTTCACATGAAAAAAAGAAAAGAAAAAGGAACAAATACTTGCATCAAACTTAAAATATGTAGTAAATTGATCTGTTTGCTTTTGCTTAAGGTCCCAGCCACCAGGTTCATCACTTAGAGCACCTCCTGTGCCTGTGTGGAAAACTTAACACTACAACAATTAACAGCAATTCCATCTGCAACAGCCATTTTTTATTCTTACAGAATGACATATATTGTCATCTTTCTTCAAATTAAAGAACATCTACGATTTGTTTTTAAATAGCATTGAAACAAAACAAAGGTGCCAAAGTTCATGATTCCTTTTTTAGCCTTTCATACAGCAGACCCCAGAGTTAAGGAATATAAGGCTTAGTTTGTTGTTGTTGTATTGAAACAAAACAAATGAGCATTTCAGTGAGGTATGCCTTTTGGATCTCGTCTTTCAGAAAAGAGCACCAAGGTGACAAAAGTGTGCATCTAAACAAAGTCCCCTCGCAGAGAGGTGGAAAGGCACTTGTAATGTCTGACCTTTCATTAGTGCCTAGGTGCTGTAACGAAATACAAATAACATGTACATTCAGCAAAGTTTCTTACGGAGGTGAGGTTTTAGAAGCAAGGAAAGAAATGACCAAAAAAGATAAACAACCTAAATCCCAGAGCGTCTCCTAGCATGGTAGGATAATAGGGTATCAATAGATAAGAAGGCATGGATTACCAAAAACATACATAAAACAACTTAAAGTTCATATCATGAAAGCATACCAGGATATTGAATTAGCGCCTGTGTTCCACCATTCTTCTCAAATATTGCAATCTTTTGGACTGTTCCAAATGCAGAGAATACCTACAAGCAACAAATAGAATAATATGAGAAAATTTCAAACAGTGAACCACTCTTTTCACATTAATGAAGTAATAACACAATGTCCTACCGTGTGAAGAACATCAACTGTCACAGCATACTGCATATTTTCAATAGAAGCAAGTAGCACATTACTCTGAGGTTCTTGCTTTTTTCCATCGGGGCCAACTACAGGCTGGAGATTACAGCATATTAGTGACACCCAACATTAAAAAATAAGTCCAATGTTTGTAAATAAAGAGGCTACCTGCATAAGTCCCTCCATTGCAGTGGGATTCACAGGAAGGTATGGATTGGTATAGTCCCTACATAAGTGTGCAAACAGAACCAGAATGTCTAATATAAACATTACACATAAAGTACAAATGCATAGCCCAATGTCAAATAGAAATTTGCATTTAGTCAGGATGTAAAACATATAAGGGTAATAATTTGATGCAATTGCAAATGTATATACAAGATGACATTAAAGATTATGGGTTCAAATCCAGAAGCATCCTGTTTGACAGCAGAAGCAGATCACACCACATATGGGCATTCAGTTGGTTCGAATTATATAGCAGAGAGCAACTCAAAAGCTTTCAAAGATATGCCAATAGAAGACTCTAAATTATTACAACCAACTCTCTGAATGCCAAGGTCTTGAATATAGCCAATGCTTCCATGAAACGATTCCATAAATGTTCGAAGATAAGCAAGGACAATCACATTTTTATGAAGTACCACTCAACTGAAAACAATGAGTATTAAATCAATAAAAATTACATTTATATACACATTGCCTTTCCCCCAGAATCAACTAGCTCCTCATGTCAATTGGCAATATGCTCACACAATCTCATTATACAAGATAAACAAACCTTATAGTAGAGACAATTGTTATGACTTCAAAGACTATGAAATAAATATTCTACAATGACTAATTGTTCAGCTAATAGAATAATAATTTGCAAACCAAAAATAGTTGGCAGAAATATCTACTCCAAACACAAAGTTCACAATGGCATGCACTACACAAGCTTAAAAGCAATATTAAACCTGAAATCAGATTAAAATTACCCTGCTAGCATGTTCCAGGATATGCTCCAATGTTCCAGTCAATTAATAAAAACTTGTTTATATTACTATGAAAGAAGGAGCTGCTTCATTTGAACACAGAAAAAAGGGGAGGTCCCCACTCATGATACCACCAAAGTGGTAATTCCACAATCAATATATAAACAATTACAACTATACTGAGATTTACAATTGCAGGGAACTACGGTCAAAAGATTCAGAAAATTACTAAGCAGCCATGACAACACATTTATGTGCTGACTACCAGGCTTCACTAACACCCTAGATGACAAAAAGTACACAACAATTAGCAACATATTAGATGCCAAAATAAATATTTAGCAGGAATATGACTTAAGAGTTAAGATTTCAGGAATGAATATGACCAAACATTTATGAACTTCAAATAGCAAATAACTTGATTTTCGGGTGCACTTTTACCTGCTCCGATGAGATTGAAACTTGATATTCAGATCAGTGTGTGCAGAGTACGAGATTCGCAGGTTACAAGAAGTAACATGATCTGGAAGCAAGTACCTAAATTCAAAATATAATGATAAAATATTACAACACAACCACATTGTTATGCAATTCCCAAACTATGTAAGGATAATCAATACAAAGAAGAGAATTAAGTGATGCTAGAGAGATGAGAAAATGAGTGTGCAAGTGAATTTATAACTAAAGAAGTGCATATGTGAATGGAGGAGACAAGGTATCAGTACATACCTAGGAATACTTCTCCCATCCAAGGCATTCTTCGCTGCAGATGCGGTTTGAGCATCAGTGAATTGGATTAATGCCTACCAACATTTGTCAAAAAAATGAGCATGATATTGAAAGAAACTCAATCTCCAAAGATCCAAAGGCAATTTGACATCTCACCTGGAATCCAGCAGCCTTCTCAAAAGTAGCAATTTTGTGCACAAAACCAAATGCAGAAAATACCTGAAACAAAATTCAATCAGATACAACTACAAATCACAAATATAAACAAAAAAGAGCATTAGATTTAGAAGTCATCACAAATATTGGTATAACTGGAAAACCTATGTTAGCAAATCCAAAATCGATGGAGAAATAAGTGCAGAATGACACCTGTGCATACATGCCTCATGATAGACCTTAGAAAGGAGTATGACGTACAAGACAATATTTCCAAACTGTCTCCAACAAAGGAATCTAAATAAGAGTCATAACCATCGTGATTCAACTGATTTCAATCAAAATGCTATCTCTATATATGTAAAAGAACAAGAAAAGATATGAGTTTAATTCACTTCAGATCTATAAGAAATGGGCCTGTAAACTCTAATTAAAAACCATACTCCTTAAAAGGGATGGTCTAAGTTCCTGTTGATTGGCCAAAAAAAAAAAAAGAGCCCAAGAGCATCAAGTATTCCTCGTCAGTCATATAATAAATAACACAAGGCTAGATAAAACTGATACTTTCACCACATGGTACCTTTAACTTCAGAGGTCTATACTTAATTAGACCAGTTTCTCAATCAATCTGCTGAATGGATGATATTTCTTCAACTCTTTATATAATTGTTGGTAAATCCTTAACAAGTATACTCAATTATAAGAGATATTAACAAGATTTTGACGCAACTAAAATAGGCCACTTTTAGATGTAGAAGTACAAGATATCTTCATTTAATCATACAAATATGCTCCTTATTCAGGACCAAGAATCATCCAATACTCCAAGCTCCTTACACAAATATCAAAAGCCCCTAAGTGTAAAGAGGCTTTAAAACTCTTAGCCTAACTATTTTTTAGCAGCAATGTAATAGAGAATCTTTAACAACTCATAGCATTTAATCAAAGAAGTGCATACACCAGCAATAATCACTTACCAAGTGAATGGTCTCAATGGTCACGTCATTAGCTTCCACACCCTCAATTGTAACCAGCAACACATTTCCTGGGGTATCTCCAGGACTCTTGTTGTTGACAATTTCATGTCTGTTTGAATATTGAATATAGACAGTTTTTCCACGAATGTGTGCTGGCTCCGACGATGAAGCATAGTATGAAACCATCGAAATAGCCTGATTTAAGTCCACCTGCAAATAAAAATAACACCTTTTATTAACAGAAAACCATCACTAATCACACTTTAAAAAATCTAAATTTCACTATTCGAAATTAACCCATCAAAATTTAAACTAACAAAAGGAGAATGGGAGCCAAAAATTCAGAATTTTACCATGAGCACATGACTAATTAACCTTAATCAACATAGTGAAACAAAACCATCATCACCCTCCCCAAAAAATGGAAAACTCTTCAATTAACCCATCAAAATTTACGTTGCAGATTAACAAAAGCAGCAAAAATAAAATCAGATTTTTACCCAATAAAAAAAAGTCATCACCAAAGGAACTCAAAATTTTCCAATTTGCAAATAACCCATTGAAATTTGAACTTGCAAAATACCAACAAAGCAAACCATCAGTAACTAATTGACCTTAATCTAACACAAAGAAATCTATAAATTTAAAAACAACAAAAAACAAAAACTTTAGAAAACTTTTGATGGATAAAGCGTACAAATTCTACAAAAGCTTGGTTTCGATTGGCGCCAACATTGCACTTAGTGTTAACGATCTTCCCAAAGGGTTTACAAAGCTCGACGAGTTCCTCTTCCGTACACTCCCATGGGAGATTTCGGAGATGAAGGACCTTCGATGGCGTCTGGGTATAACGAAACTGGGGTTGGCTTGACGTTGACATCTAGGGTTTCTTACAGGTTGGGCTTTTTTTGAAATTAGATGGGGTGTTTGTTTGGATAGAAAATACGGGAGTTTTCTCTGGAAAATTATTTTTGAGGCGAAAGGGGATTTTGTTTCGTCGGTTTCGGGGTTTTGTTGGATTGATGTGATGCTGAGTTGCTGACAAAATATCGGTGAGGCATTGAAAGATTATGGTATTGGCATTTATTGATTTGCCCTTGTTTGAGTTTGAAATAATTATAATTAACTTTTTATGCAAGGGTATTATTGATAATTAATAGAAGTTACACTTACAGCAATGAAAATTGTTGAACTGTTAATTCAATAATGTTATAAATAATTTTAAAATTTAAAATCTTGAATTGAAAATTTAATTATCAAATAAAAACATGTAATTTGAAATAATTAGAGAAAATGGAAACGTAATTTTTGAAAAAAAAATAAAAAACATCATTAATATTAGGAGAAATTTCGAAAAAGATAATTTAATAAAAGAAATTTTTTATTGATTAAGTTTCGATTTCATGCTTCGCAACAAAAATAAAATAAAGTTATGTACTTATAATTTAGTTTCAAAAATAAAATAAAATTATGTATTAATAATTTAAATATTAAACAATAAATAAAAAAAAAGTTATATAACTATAAATTTTTATGATTACCTAGTTAGTTGTTGCAGTATAAATCTTTTTATTAAACTTGATGATAATTTTTTTTATTTCTTTTAGTCCATTTTTTCAATCACATGGAAAGTGCCTCCTCAATGTATCCATTCTATATTATGCAAAGGTATTACATTAGTAAACTTTAATGAACATGTTAAAATATTAACTACGTAAGTAGTAAAAGTAGACTTTACAACACAATAGATGAATCGGCCATGAAAACAACTTTTGCCATTAGTTTATCGTTTGCCATTTTAGCTTTTGTAAGCAACAATTTTTCTTGTGTTCGTTCTTCCAAAGTTGAGTTGGGTACACTATAATCTTTGGCCATTCTTTCATTTACTACTTGTAGAATTACATATGGCTTTACATTAGGACCAAGTGCGCGATCATCTAATGTCTTCATTCTTTTTAGTGAGCTCTTGACATTATATCTTATATATTCTTTACATAATTCATCATTGTTCCATAAGTCTATAAGTTTCTCCACTTAAACCATTAAATGTTTAGATAAAATATTCTACAAAATTTTAACATCAAAGAAATAAAACGAAACACGCCTCTCTATCCCTTTTCAAGGCAAAATCATTTGTTGTCTTTATATCATCCTTGTACCGTCAAAAATATTTATTCTGCAAAGTTTAAGCAATAGTAAGGTTAGTATGTTTTAATGAATCATTTTACTTTAATTGTGCAAAAAAAAATAACTTATTAGTTCCATTAGGAATGCTTCTCAAAATCATCAGATACAACAGGAAAAAAAATAAAAAATAGCATTAAAGTAATCTTAGTATACAAAATACAATTAAAAAGATGAAACACTAATAATGCATGTTGCATTATAAAATAAGCTTACGATAACTCCCACATTTCATTACTTTAACATTGTGCTTCTACGATATGAATAAATTCCAATACACATGTACAAGATTAATCAATTTATTCACATAAATTACACAATGGATTCTGTTACCACTAAAATTTTTTAAAAGATGATATACTTGTAACATTACATTAAAATTTTTTCAAAATTTGATTTTTTTTACGCCTAATCATGTATTCACATGACATTATCGTAGACTTATAAAGTGAATGCATGATTCAAAGATAATAAGTTTTGGTAAGGTAGACTTGTAAAAAGGATTGAAGAGTTCACTAGCAAGAGGTTACAAGACTATGAAAAAAAACTCAGAATTATAGTGGCATATATTGGTAATTTATGCAACTAACTATAGGCCAAAACTACAAGTTATCAACACTATAACTATAGTATTAACAAAACCATATAATTACACTGTATTGCATGGTACAACCAAAGATGGTCACTTTTTCCATACCTTTTAATGCAATCAATTGAATAGTAGGGTAATCTTTTCTAACTTTACTTTTCACTAAGCCTCATGGCCTTCCTACAAATAACATAATAGAGCATTAATTTATAAACAAAAATGGTTAATTATAAACAAAGTAAAATATTTTTTACAAAAATGAAAGACATCACTTTAGTTTGGATTCTTATGAAAGAGACCTATAATGAATTTAAAAGAAATTAGAAAGGCATTTGTTACCTACAAAACAATTTTGAGAATTGGATTCAAGTATTTTGCCACAACCTTAACAATAACATAACATTACCAACAATTGTCAAGATTATTGCCCAAATTTCATAATTAATCTCTACTTTTAAGGCAACTATCCAGTTTATATGATACGCAATGCAGGGCTAAGATTTAAATACCAAAATTATAAATTTGGTAAATAGTATTAATAAAAAAAAATAATGACTTGCAAACCAGAACAATATCACAATAGTAAAAAGTTTTTGATAAATGACAAAGGTAATGCTAATGGAAGTAATTAGTGGCCACAAGTAACGCTCATATATGAAAATGGAGATTTTTATATCAAAAGTAAGAAATGCAAGCATGTGCATACATAACAACCCATAATAAATCATTAAATCTTGAATATGCAATGAAATGTAAAAAAAAAAAAAAAAGTTTGATGCAAAAGAAGTTAAAGTGGAAACAAAATTCCTAAAAAAAAATCAACCATGATAATAAATCTTTTAAAGGTAAATTACATAAATATACCTTGTGATTAAATGCAATTTGAATTTATCCCCTGAGATTTAGAAAGTGATATCTAACCACACTAAGATGTGTATCTGTGTCATTCTGTTAGTATTCTTTGGACACTATCTCTCATAAAATGACAAGAATATCCTTACCTTTGACAGAATCAATTGAATTGTAAAAATTTTAGAAATGAAAGCTACTTTACTAAGAGACAATGGATTGTTGAGAAAAAGAAAAACTTTGGGGGGATTGGATTCTGCTACGATTACATGCACCATAAATGATCGATTGAATAACATTGACCTAAATGATGATTTTGCCTTGTTATTTTTTGATTCTGCCAACGATCTAGATTAGAAAAGCTCATAAATCAATAAGAAAATTCAATTTTTTTTCTTTTATTACAAATAAAAGTTTAAGATTTTGACAAATGGGTATGTGCTTTTATTAGGGATCTTGTAGTTAATGATGATGATAATGATGATTGATTAAAAAACATCAACCTAATTGATGATTTTGCCTTATTATTTCCTTATTCCTTCATTAATCTAGATAAAAAAAACTCACAAATCAATAAGAAAATTCAATTTTTTTTTTACAAAGAAAAATTTAAGATTTTGACAATGGGTATGTGTTTTTGTTAGGGTTCTTGTTGTTGTTGAAGCTATTATTGATTGAAGAACATTAACCCAAATGATGATTTCACCTTGTTATTTTCTGATTTCGCCATCAACCTAATAAAAAAAAGCTCACAAATCAACAAGAAAATTCAAAATTTTTTCTTTTTTTTTACAAAAAAAATTTTAAGATTTTGATAAATAAGTATGTGTTTTTTTTTTTATTCTTATTGTTATTGTTGATGATGATGATTATTGTTGCGTTTTACTTTAAAAAAGAGATAAAAGAAAGTTGTTTCTATTGTTCTTTATTCTAGATGTTCTTACAGGTGATTTCAAATCATAATAACATATTTTTCCAATATTTAATCTCCCACTTGTTGAAGATTGTGAAGAATTCATGCTTCCACACTATCTTTTTTTTTTTTTTTGAAAAGTTTGAATATGGGAAATAACAAACAAAAAAAATTGAAAAAAAATTGAGGTTTATTCGATTAGGCATTAGCAGCATTAATGAAAAGTAACAGAATGACACAGATATATATATCTCAAGGTGGTTAAGTGTCCATTTTTAAACTTTAGCAAGCAAACTCAAATTGTATTTAACCGCAAAGTATTTTTATGTAATTTACCCATCTTTTAACTATGTATATGTACATTTCCATAATGAGTTTCTTTATACAACAAAAAACTAGGTGTAAAGGAATCAATGTCTCACCACCAACTAAAATAACAGTGAGCATTATACCTAGATTTCCTATAATATTAAAAATACATACCCTTTTATGATAGAAAAATAACCAATGTAAAAATAAATAAAATAAAGAAAAACTTAAATCAACCAAACAAATTGGTGCCTCACTTAATAATGACATCTTTTATAAGTTTGATGTAAAAAAAAAAAACTAATAGAACATTCTATAATAGGAGATTAATGGACATGAAGAAAAATAATATATATATATATATATCAAGATGGGGGAAATTAATTGAATTTACAACAACCATTGAGTTGGCAATAGTGCTTTAAGTTTCTATTACCACGTCAACATAAAAAATGGGGAAAAAATTTAAGCCTTACTCGTAAAAATTTGAAGGCTAGATTCTCAACAAAATCTTTTACTAGTTTAACTTTTAAAAGTTCTTTCTCTTGAAGTAAATTGGAAAGGTCACCAACTAAGTTGATAATGCAAAAATTATGAAAAGGAAAAAAAACCCACTATTTTATTTCTAAACCAGCTGCTACCATGATTAATAACAAATTAAACGAAAGGCTGATTATAAAGTTATAAATCAAAGAAATCACTAGCTTCCATTAGACCAAAGTTTGCATGTTTTTCTTTCTAGTTTTTTTTTCTCGTACATTGGTAGTCTAGTGAAAAGGCTACCTAGAGAAGATTATAGTCAAATTATGTAGGATCAAATCATTTTTCGAGATAATAGGGAGAGAGAAGCTGCGACTTACTTTCTACTTGAAGAAGTATATATAATTTTGACTTATAATGAAGTTATGGATGCTTGGTCTTCACATATTCCTTAAATTAGGAAGACAAAAAAAGTAGGTCAAGGCAATTGCTTTGGATGTTAGCAAATATAAAATGCCACTAAATAAAATATTTGTTTTTTACCCATCATTGTTACCATGAATAAAAAATTTTCACACCCTACACATTTATACCTAAAATGACACATTCTCATGTTTAAAGAAAACCACTACATCTTTATTTCAAATGGGAAAAAAAAGAAAAGAAAAGAAAAGTGCAGGTTAAAAATACAAAGTTGAAAAATTATCTTAAAAAATTACACTTAGCAATTAATATAAATTCATGATTTCAATTTTTCATTTG